AGGACTGGCAGCAGGGGAGTGGGTTGGGGGTAGGGGGAGGAGTTGGAGTGGGAAATGGGGCTGTGGGAAATGGGGCTGGCAGCGGGAGGCGGGTGCCGTGCCCCATTTGAGGACAGGGAAGTCAGCTTTGGATTCTGGTTACGGTCAAACCTCCGGCGCACTCCCGAGCCCCTGTCCTGCAGCTGGGTTTGGGCTCAGAGAGAGCAGGGGTGCACTTGCTCCCTAGCAGCCCCTTGGAGATGGGAGCTGCAGCTGCCCAGCCCGGTTCGCAGGCTGGTCCCAGAGCCCAGCCGTTAGGCTGCAGATTCTTCAGAAGCAATGAGGAGGGAGGGGGAGTTTTTTCCTTGTCTCAAAAGTTTCTAGCTGCAAGGGGCTTCCCAGTAATTTTTATCTCAAAATGCACTTTTCTTTCTAGTTGGTAAATTTCAGTGCTGTGTTGGGTTCTGGCTTCCCACTTCCTGTTGTGGTTTGTAATCTTTAGCTGTTCTCAGCTAATTTGTTGTGACAGCTGTCAGCAACAGCTTTTTTTTTTCTTTGGTTCCCAGAAGAATCTGGCTGTTTTTCCCCTTCCCCGTCATGGCCTCCAAAGGGTTAAGCTGAGGTATTGTACAGTGTGTACGCAGAATTCTGGTTCCATTGTACGCTGTCATTTCCCGAAAGTGGCTTACTCTTGTGCTTTGAAGATGCTAACGGCCCCTCCTTCCAAGTCAAGAAATGGTTTGACCTTTTCAAGAACACTTTTCAGCTACTACAGCCATGTAGAAGAATGAAACTATTCCCATTTGCCCCATGCTCACGCGAGCACATACACGCACACGTACCAGGGTAGTGTGAACAAGATAAATGTTTAGTAGTGGGGGCAGGGGGAGGGGAGAAGTGACTCTGGAAATTGCAGTTTACTGCTGAGAAGTACAAACATCTACTCTCAGTAGATTTTTCCAAAATACCAGAGGACCTGGCTGTTCCAGATTAGGTTGGAGCTGTTTTTCCTTGGATATTTAGTAAATTGCATTTGTCCACAGTGCATTCTCCTGTTTTCTATGCATTGGAATATGTATGAGATTGAGCATCCCCCTCTCCTCTTAAGTAAGGTTTAGATGAGCTCATGGGTCATTGTCCTCTCTCATTTCTGATTTGTTAGCAAGGTTGGGTGGCCTTTGTTTTAAGATTTTCTTTTTGTGGCAGGGTAATCTCTAGGGTGAAGCCTGGAGAGCAGACTTTTATTTCTTGCTCTGGCCTTGGGTGACTCCTTGCCTCATTCTGTGCCTCAGTTTCCCCACATGTAAAATGGTGGTTTTGGTACTGCTCCATTTTATATGATGATATGTCGACATCAATCCACTAATGATAGCAGAATAAAGAACTGAGTTGAAGCAGCATGCCCTGCTCTCCTCTCTGGACTGGTGAGAAGAGGGTGATTGGAGCCCCAAATTGTGCAGAAGGGCAGCCCCAAAACAGGCACTTTGCCATACCAGTAAAACTGCAAAGCAAGGCCCAGCATGCAGCTGCCTTGGAAAAAAACAGGTGCTTTGCAGTGCTGCAACCCAGATAAGATGCATCCCAACTGGCATGAAACAAAGAACAGTGTAATTACTGTATCTTCTGGAAAGGGGGAAGGGAGGCAACAACTGCTGAGGTCTGCCTTGGAAGAATGAAGCGGGAGCTGCAAAACTCTGCAGAGCAGAGAGGCAGATTCCTACATGTGGTGTGAGCCAAGCTGTGTTCTCACTCCACCACATGCAACCCCCACAAACCTTGGTCCATCCAGTATAACTGTTAGGAAAACTCGAATTAATGGCATTTTGCTTGCTTTGTAATTAACAAACGCCTGCACTTGTCTCCTTTGTTTGTTGGGAGTTGTGCTCTTGTGTCAGTGAGTGTTCAGGTGTCTGTCCCTTTGTCTCCCTGCCTGTTCTCTGTGCCATGCTGATGAGCTGAGGCAGTTTGGAGGGGACAGACTCTTAGCCTTCCTTCCTCCCCCACAGTGGCTCCTGCCATAAGCCAGGTAAAAGACTCAAGCTGTTCTCTGCTGTTTCCCAAAGTTGTCATCATGTCCAGTAATCCTCTCAGAAGCCGGGCTTGTCTTGGCTGCCTTGCGTGGTGATCTCATGCCCAGAGAACATTAAACCGGCCAGTTTTCTCTCCCCTTTGTACAGTATGTGAAAGCGTTTTATGAGCTCGCTGACCCCGTGGGGCTGAGAATGACACACAGCAAACACGAACTGGAGTAGGCTGAGGGGTTGAGCTTTGGGAACAAATCAGCACTTGTTGTTGTTCAAAAGGCTCAGGAAGGAGAGGTGGATATTTCAGCAGCATCAGGAGACAGACTGATGTGACCTGGTTCTGATCCATCAGCTCTGGTTCCCATCTGCCTCCCTCCCCCCCCCCCGGGTTGTTGGAGTAGTCGGTGACCTCAGCCCGGCAGATGTTGCTCGCAGGAGCTGTGGCACCGGCAACAGTGCAGAGTAGGAGGGAGGTTTTGTTTGTTTGTTTCTCTTCCTTTCTTGTTATGTAAACAGAATCTATATTAAGCAGTTATGCAATGTGGGAGGAATCTCACAAATGCAGTAAGGTGGGGCAGGGTCTCTGCCCTGAGCTCACAGCAGAGCATGAGCCTTTCATTTCGAGAAACATTGGGTAGTATTGGAGCTGCTCAGCAAGGTGGCTTTCATGACCACAGATGAAGCCATCCATGATACGGCCCAGTTTCTGATAGAGGGTGGCCTCCATGCTTGCTGTGACAAATCAGGGTCCCTCTTGAGGACTGACCTCTGCACAGGGACTTGGCACTAGATCCCAGCTCTGCCACTGCCCACGTTTCTGCTCGGTTCCTGAGTTTCCTCTCTCTCAATTTAGAGTGTAAAATCTTCAGGGCAGGTACGTGTCTGTGCAACACCTAGCAAAGTGGGGCACTGATCTCCATGTGGCCTCTAGATATGACAGTAATATGCTTCTTAGAGCATCCTGGCTGTGCTTCCCTTGGCCTGGCCCTTGGGCTAGAGTTTCCCTTTTGTCTCTCTGTTCGGGGTGGGTTTACTTTTTTGTAAGTGTCCAGTTCTCAGTGACTTTCAGGCTGAATTAGCAGCAGCACAGCCCCATATACATGTTTTAAGCCTAATGGGGACAGTGCAGGGCAATCTGACTTGGAGAGGTTGAGATTCTTCTGTGAGCCAGGTGGAAACTGGAGAAGTATTTAACTGCTGGGTGGTGAAGGGAGGTAACCTCTATCCAGCTCTCCATGATGTTCAGGCTCTTGTTGATGAGCCTGAGGGTAAAGAGAATTCGACAGGGCAGGATTATCAAGGGCTGCAGTAGAGGCAGGTTCCCATGTGTTGCCATGTCCTAGGTGATGAGTGGGGAAGTAGAAGGTATCGCCACTTGCTCGCTGGCTAAAGGGATTTTTTTCATCCCTCCTCAGTGACTCGAGGGGAGAGTGAGCCACCTGCCAGAGGCAGTTAGCTGAGCGTCTGGCAGGAACGGATGTGGCTGAGGTGGGGAAGCGTTCACAGCTCCGCACTAACTCATAGGGCTCCAGGAAGCCACCCTGAAAGTGAAAGCAGTGGCCAGACGCCCCGCCATCACGAGCTGTTGACAAACACAGCATATCTCTGAACAGGAAGCCCTGCAGGTACCTGCATCACAGAGGTCTCTGTTCTTGGAAAGCCTGCTTGTTTTCGGGCCCAGTCCAGGGTATTGGGCCCCTCTGACATATCCAATGCTGAAGTGTCCCTGACTGGGGACTGTCCTTCCGTTCAGAGGCAGGACCCGCCTCTGAAAGAGCGGCATGTAGCAATGAACCATGGGCCCAAGCATGAAATCTTGAGAGACCTGACTATTCCCCGAGTTCAAGGCTATGCAGATTGGGGCATCTGGTTCTCTGTCCTTTGGAGAGGCCTGGATTGGGGAGTCTGAATCGAGATCTAGCTTGCGCTTATGTTTGAGAGGAGGGAAGATTGATCCGGGTTTACGCATGCTGGAAACTGGGGCTCTGTAGCATTGGAGGAACTGATCCTGTGTATTCCTTAATATGTGTGTCTGGGATGCCAAGGAGTGTGGGTGTCTCACTCTGCTGTGTGCGTGCAGAGTACATAGATAACTAGCTTGACTTGCACGATTGTTTGGGCCTTCACTTCTCAATATTTTCTCCATCTTCTCCCTTGGACACAGCACCCAGCTTCAAAGGGAAGAGGAAAAAGATGACATCCACCATGGAGGCTATTGAGCCGGGGCCTGTGGAAGAGTCTAATGCTCTGAAGCCCGAACCTGAGGGGAGCCAGAGCACTGTAGACTCACTGGACCAGCTGGTGAGTGAGAAATGGCATGAAGTTCTCTTGTCTCCCATTGGAGCTTCTCGATGCACTCAGCCTTCTCCATGAGGTGGGAATGTGGGGCTTGGAGCTTCCAAGGGAGGTGAGGAAAGAATGCTGTTGAGGTGTATTTTGTTATCTGGGTACCCATGCCCATAGCTTCACTGCTGCTCAACAGGCTAGGGCAGCAACTGACAGCAATGCTTCAGGAACAACAAGCAAAGTTCCTGGGCAGCCTAGCACAGGGAATCTCTCTCCTTACCTTAGTGGCAAAACAGTCACTAAGGGCTGTTCATCACTCTTCCAGCATACCTTGATAGGGGACTGCTGTAGGTGTCAGTACTAAAAGACAGCACTGGAATTTGGGTTAGTCTCACTCTTATTCTAGGTGAAGGGAAAAGAACAAATTGCAAAGGCAGGTCTCCAGGGAAGAGAATGTTTTATTTGTATTCTCATAAGGGCCCCAGTCCTGACCTGGAACCTTGTTAGGCTGGGCATTGTGCAGCTCCAGAACAGAGAGAGGGTACCTGCCCCAGAGTCGGCGATTAGAGCTGCCAGGCAGAGACCGAGCACAAGGAAGCAATGAGACGGAGCTGTCTACTTGGGCAGGACTGAGACAGGGGAGGGGAAAGGGTAGAAAGCATTAGCACAATAAAGAGTGGGATGGAGCAAATGGCAAGTTAGCACCACAATTATAGTTTCTAGGCCTGGAGAGTGGGGGTGGGGTTAAATGTACTTAAAATCAGCTAAAGGAAAGGAAAGGAACAGGATGGGGGGAGAAGATAGGAAGGGTGGGAGTGACACTGAAGGTGTATTGCTTTTATAATATGTTGCCTCAGCTTGGCCTCAGTGGCCAGCTTGCCCTGCACAAGGCCAGGCTCCTTGGCATGGTGGTTGCGTGATGTGAAGCCATTTCATGGAGTAGATACAGAATTCTGCATGGGGCCTGTTTGTATAGCCAGGGCTGACTTGTGCCTTCATCGGTCCCTTATTTGCACATGCAACATGCAGAAAAGGTGTGTCCCTGACAACAGAGAAGACCCAGTACTTGGTTGTTGTAAATAAAAGGGATTGTTGATTGAGGCTGCTAGATGCTGATAAGACTCAGCTGTTCTCTTGAGTTTCCCGGCAGATGTAACCAGTGCTGCGGAAACAGTTGTGAATGGTCTTCTGATGACACTGCAGTCAGAGGCATGCACACCTGTCTGGCACTCAGTTCGTGCGCACAAGTGATGGTGTGTGCACATAGGTGTGCACCTTCTGCAGAAGCCAGGCTGTGACTGAGAATGTGTGGGCCAAGTTGTGTTACAGACCTCTGGGATAATCGGTGCTATTATGGAGAGTAGAGCATTTCCAGGAACGGTGATAACTCAAAAGAAAAAGCAAATGCTCAGATTGTTTGTTCACACCAGGTGAACCTGAGTGAGGAATTTGCAAAGCCAAGAAACTAGTGAGGGGAAACAGGTGAACGGCAATTGGGGAAGTCCTATCCACTGCTGTCTCCGAGCATTGCTGCCCTTGCTGCATGAAGCATGTGGCATAATCATTTGTACTGCTGGGTGCACGTGGCCCCGTGCTGCTCTGTGGAAGGTGTGTGGAGTGTGCTCAGTCCAGTGGAGGTAGCTGCATGGGGACCATAGGGAGCATGTCCATGCTCTGTTTCAGGGAAAATGCCTCATTAGCTCATTAGCCTGTGACTTCTCCATTGTGGGAAGTTGTGGTTTTATCCTCTTTGCGTGCCTGCTGGGCTTGTTCCATGGCCACCTTGCTGCAGCACCATCCAAGGGACTGGTGTACCCACTTCAGCTGTCAATTTAAAGGCCATGGGTGGGTGTGAACCGTGCAGCCTCCCTGAGTCAAGTGTTGGGTTACACTGGTTTTGGTCAATCCCTTGTCTCTCTGAGCACTATGAAAATTCACATAGGATGCCTTGTGTCATTGTGGGCACATTTAAAGGGCACCTGCCGCTTCCATCATGGTGGAGAGAGAGATGGGCTTGATGTTGAGAGTGAGGGGTGCAAATTGTGTGAGTCCTCAGCATTATTGATCTAGACGGTACTGGGTCCTGCCGTGAGGGCAGGGGACTGGACTCGATGACCTCGCGAGGTCCCTTCCAGTCCTAGTGTTCTAGGATTATGTGGTTGGTGTGATTGCTAAAGATGGGACTAAACCAAGCATCCTGAGCTGGGCACACCATAACACCGCTCCCATTAAAAGGCGCTGGATGTTTGGTGACAGCAATGCAGATCAGGCCTCTCACCCTCCAGACCATCAGCATGGATTCAATCTGGGGGAAATTGTTCCCTACTGAGAGTTGTTCTGGTGAAAGGCATTTGGTAAAGTGGTTCATTCACACAGTTCAGTTTCCAGCAGGTAATTGGCTGCTTTACCACAACCGCTGCCACAGCCAACCCAAGTGGGTGGGGACCAAATCGTGTACAAAGCATGGCTCATGTCCTGTAGCAGAAGCCCATCCTGTCGGGGCAAGCCTGAGGGGGTTGTGGCAGTGCTGAGTGGGTTTGCGAAACTTGCCCTATGGCAGAGGCCTTGAATTGCCAGGACTCTCGCTCACACACCAGTCCCCTGCACTGAATGCACTGGGGTTTCAAAAAGAAAAAGGAGGCCCAAAAATAACTCAGCAGCTAAAATAACATATCTGTCACAAGCAGTTAAAAGAATAGAAAGGAGAAAAAGTGCTGGGAGCTGAGCAGCTGCTTTGCCCAAAAATAGCAACAAGTTTTATAACTCCGGAAAATGTAGAACAAACAAACGAGAAACATTTTTAGCTGAGAGAGAGAGAGAGAGAGAGTGAGAGCAAGTCTTTCTGCCCTTCTGTTTTCCTGGAAGCCGTTCCTCGTGTTCTCACACAACTCCAGCGCTCTGACCAACTTGGCTGTCTTCCCAGCTGAGAGAATAATAAACTGTGGCTCTCACTCTTTAGTTGCACAAGTCTGTTACTTTCCGGAGCTAATAAAAAGCCTCCAACCACAAAATGCCTCTCATGGTATTTAGAGCAGTGGTACAATGCAGCATGGCATTTCATGAACACCCTACTAGCAGGAAGAGAACCCAGGAGTCCTAGCTCCTACTTCACTGCTGCTTGTGTGTATCCACTAGGCAGACCCATGCAGATGTGTGCTGAGGTTTCAAGGGGAGATAGTAAGGAGGCAAGAAAACGTGACTCTTTAGTAACCACTTGTCATACCTGCTGTTCAGTAAGTGGCCTTCCTTTGCTCCACTCCTTGCTGAGGGGCTCTGGGGGCTAACTGGTCCTGGATATTGGCGCTCCAGCATGCACAGCTGTTCTGAAGCAAGCATGAGCTAGGCCATGGGAGCTGCTGATCCTCAGTTGTGCATATCTAGGAGGACTAAGGAATTAATGTAGCTCCCCCCACCCCCCCACTCAGATGCAGGAAAGCTTTAGCTGGCTCTGTGTGACAAACACATATAAGTTGGGTGACCTCGTGGCAATGGTCTGGCAGTCAGGCCTCCTGGTACAATTCGTGGGTCTGATAGGGAGCATGGTTCAGTGAGTAGAATGGGGCTTGGGAGCCCGGACTCCCAGGTTCTGTTCATAGCTTGGCCATGGACTCATTGTGTGACTCCTCTGTCACTTGGCTCCCCCACCTCACTTGTCATTCTCTGCAGGACTCTCCAGCACCGAAGTCAGACAGCAGCTCTGAAGTGGAGCAAAAGAGGCTGGTGGAGGAGATGGAGAATGAACAGGAAACCAGCAGGGAGAAGGAGGAGGAACAGGCCTTTCTTGTCAATCTCTACAAGTTCATGAAGGACCGTCACACCCCCATTGAGAGGGTGCCTCATCTTGGCTTCAAGCAGAGTGAGTCCACTCACCTCGTGTGTATCCACTCACTTCTGCTGCCACAGCCCACTGCGCAGCAGCTCATAACCATGTCTTTGGGGAGGGGTGTCCCTGAATCCTTTGCTGGTTCCCAGGACAGGTGGCACTGCAGAAGTGGGTGTAGAAGTGACATGCCAGCCACCTCCTCAGGGCTGGCCTGTGAGAGACTGACCCATCCATATAATGGCCAGTTGTAGAGTAGGGGCAGGAAGTGGCACTACCCCGCACCCAGGACAAGTACCAACAATTCCCCCTCCATGCTAGCAAGCCCAGGCCTGTTGGCTGAGTAAACTGCCAGTGCCATGAGCAACTAGCACAGCTTAGTGGTCCAGAGGAAGCACCTGTGGCTGTTCATGGGATCCTCATGAAGGTGGCTCACAGCAATTCTGATTGCGCCGCCTTGGCCATGCCAGCAGAGGCCTCAGCCAGGCTGGCAACTTCCTTGCAACAGTGCATCTGCTCAGCGGGACCATAACAACCCACTGACCTTCCTTGTGGCGGGGCCCTGCCCGAGGTCCCAGCACCTCTCCTCTCCCCCGCCAAAAGCCAGCAGAACAGCTGGTCTCCCAGCATGACATGGCTGAGGTGCTCCTTGTACATCCTGTTAGTGGAGCCCTGCCCTGGCTGGTGATCCTGCATCATGATGCTGATGGCCCATCCTGTAGCTCCCATTAAAGCCAATGGGAGCTGCTCTCACATGACCTCTGCTGACAGAGCGTTGGTGATGAAGGGTGAGTCGTGTCATTGCACAGTGATCTGCCCTCACTCCTTGCCTGCTCTTTGTCTTTGTCTAGTTAACCTGTGGAAGATCTATAAAGCCGTCGAGAAGCTGGGAGCATATGAACTGGTAAGAAGAGTGGAACTGTTACTGGGGCAGGGATTCTTTTGTCGTCAGCTAGGTACTTACGTTGCCCTGTTGCAGGGTCCTCTCTAGCCAAACAGGACATGACTTCAGGAGCTGAAATCTGTTGCTATTTGCAGCTGCTCGGAGCAGCTCAGAGTTTAGAGCAGTTGTGGGCAAGTGCAGCCCAATGGGATTGTATGTGACCCACAAGATATTTCGTTTACTGTTGTTCATGCCCAGGATTGCCAGATTCTGCTGGTTTTCATCCATGTAGGTTTTTTCTTGGCAGTATTACAAGTGACATGTACTTAAAGCAAGGACACGTAAAGCGAGGTGTGTGCTGATTGCTCACAACATTGTGACATCCGTGCACTCCCCCTGCATTCAGTCAAAGCACAGTCAGCCTGCACATTCTACATACACAAGCGCAATTAGCAAAACTACCTTATCCTGGGTGACCATCTTGGTTACAACAATCTTGTGGCCCACTGAGATGAAATAGGGCCAGTCATGTGGTCCACTCATTACCCTAGGTTGCCCCTGACTGGTTTTGAGGATCATGAGAAGGGCCTTACCAAACTCACAGTTATGGGGAAAAAACACACCATGAAGTGTGAAATCTGGTCTCTTGGGTGCTTTTCCCTATACTATATGGATTTCATGGAAGAGACCAATGTTTCTCAAATTGGGGGTTCTGACCCAAAAAGGGGTTGCCTGGGGGATCACAAGTTTATTTTGGGGGGAGGGTCACAATATGGTCACCTTTACTTTTGTGCTGATTTCAGAGCTGAGTGACCAGAGGAAAGCAGCTGTTGGCCAGGCACCCCGCTCTAAAGGCAGCAGTCTGCCAGCAGCAGTGCCCAAGTAAAAGTAGCAATAACATGCCATGCCACCCTTACTTCTGCATGCTCTCTTCAGAACTGGGTGGACAGACAGTGGTGGCTGCTCTGGTGGTGGCAGTGCAGAAATAAGGATGGCAGCACCATATCATGCCATCCTTCTGCACTGCTGGTGGTGGTTCTACTTTCAGAGCTGAGCTCCCAGCCAGCAGCCAATCTCCAGCTCTGAAGGCAGTGCCAGCAGCCCCAGCACAGAAATAAGGGTAGCAGTACCCCAGCATCCCCCCTCTATTGGCCTTACAACCCTTCCACAAATCCTTTTTGGATCCTATATTTGGACTAAGGATGTAATAGTGTAGTCGATTAACTGATAAGCAAAAGCTTATAGGTTAATGCTCTAGGCTACATGCATTTCTCCCCCTCCCCCTCCACCACCACCCTGCCAGTAAATTTTTTAGCAGGCTGGCCAGCAGCCTGGCTCAGTCCTGGCTCTCATGGGGTCTGGGATCTCCCTTGCTGCAGCTCTGCATTTAAAGTGGACTAGGAGCTGGGCGGGCAGGCAGCCTGGCTCAGTTTCAGCTCACACTGGGTCGGGGAGCTGAGACTCCCCCTGGACGGTGGTTACTGCCATCCCACGCTGTTTCCTCTGTATCAGAGGCAGCAGCGTGGGGCGATAGGCAGCTGGTCTATGAGGGGAGCTGTTTTTTAAACTGGCTCCCCTTGCAAATCAGCTCCTGCCTGGCACCCTGTACTGCTGCCTCTGATACAGCACTCCTTGGGAGTGAGGCCAGAGCACACTGACAGCTGGCCCCGCCCCCAGGGACTATAGAATAGTCGACTAACTGATAAGAACTCATGAGATTAATCGACTATTCAATTAACCGATATTTAACGTCCCTAAACAGAACCCTTACAATTACAACACTGAAATTTCACATTTAAATAGCTAAAATCGTGACATTTATTATTTTGAATATGCCCATAAAATTGACCAAGATGGACCATGGAGGGATTGCCACTGCTTCTAGACAGTCATGCCCAGAGGGCTGAAAGTGATCCCTGGTGCACAAACCTGTGGTGACCAATCCATGCTGTTGGTGCATATCTTGGCTCCAGCAATCCCACTAGGAACAAAAAGAAGGGGCTTTCCTTTGGGCTCTTCTGCAACACTCCTTAGACCTTAGTCTGTCCCATGCTTTTCTGCCCGTTGGGCTACCCACATTCTGCAGGCTTGCTGCTGAACTACAAAGAGATTATTGCTGGAGTGTCCCTGTGGATTTACCTCCTCCTTGCCAGCATGCCTTGTTGCAGGAGGTGAGGGAGGGAGCAAGAGCGTCTTGTTGAAGCTCTTGGTTCAGGTCTGGGGGCAAGAGCCAGTGCACGCAGTTGCTGTTTGGGGCAGATGGGGCAATGCTGGATCTGGAGGGAGTAGGTGGAAAACCTAGTCTCTGGGGACACTGGCAGGCAGGGCAAGGGTTTGAAGGAAAGGGTTGCTGCCTTCCTACCATAGATACCTTGCTCAGCCCCATAGAGCAAGAACTGTGTGCAGAATCCTAGAATTGGCCCTTTACAGATCCTGCCCAGCTGAGGCTCGCAGGCAGGAGAGAGTTAACTAGGCACCTGGTGATTTATCTCTCTGAATCAAGCAGCGCTGGCATCTTCTGCTGCTTCTTCCTATCCCTGGTGGATAATGTGCAGAGTATGGGGGACTTTGCTGCAGAATGAACCTTTTCCTTCATGTTGGCACTTTGCTTGTCTCAGCTGATTTCCTCCTCATCACCCCATCTGTTCCTGCAAACAGCAACAATGTATGTTGCTGGTGCCAGCACCTGTGCGGAACACCCTGGGGAGGGGAAGCTGCCCAGTTCCCATGTCTGGAGCTTTCCAGCTCCAGACACCAGTGGGCTGGAGTATGGTATGTTTTCAGCAAATTGACCCAAAGCCCATCCTGTGGCGGCTGGATCCAATGATCTTCCTCTATGCCCATCACTTAATTCTATCCTGGCTGAAGCCCGCAAGAGCCTAAGATGACTCCCCAGTGCAGCATAGTGCTGATTGCCATGCAGAGAGAGGGTGCTTGAAGGCCCAGCATAAGCTGATAGGTTATCCCCCAGTACATGGGTGGTGTGTTGGAATGGCTGGGTTCTGCTCTAGCTCTGCTGCGGTCACACCTTTGCTCTGTGCCTCTTTCTCCTGCTGTAAAGCGTGATGGTTATCCTCTCGTGAGGCTGAATATAGTAGTCCCAGGCATTAGAGCAATAAGCATCCATCCCTCAGCAGGCCCAAGGATTCCACTCTACCACAGAACCTGTGATCGGCCCCTTGGCTGCTCCTCAATCCCGAGTTTGGAGAGGAACTGCCATTGCTAGCCCTGCTCAGGCACTCCAAGCCTTCCCTTCCCACCAGCAGTGGCATGTTGCTGTGCCTTTGTGCTCCCTGGGTCAGGGTGCCACTCGCTGGCATGCTGTGCACAGTGCTCCTGGGCACCGTCCGCAGTGACTCCAGTGGCACTCCTCTCCCTTCCTTTTGCAGGTCACAGGAAGGCGCCTGTGGAAGAATGTGTATGATGAGCTGGGGGGCAGCCCTGGAAGCACCAGCGCAGCCACCTGCACCCGGAGGCACTATGAGAGGTATGGAGCTGGGGTCGCCAGGAGCAGCCACAGATGGCTGCCCTCAAGGTCTCTATTTGAGCATTTGCCCTGCCAGCTAGGCTGTGAGCTTTGTTGCACTGGGGTGCTGAGCCCACTCTATTACAGTAAGGGGCTTGCGCCCTGTTTGTGGCATGTGGGGTTTGAGCTGGTGCTGTGCCTGTCACACAGGTGGCAGATGATCCCACTCTTACATGCAGCATTGAACTTCCGTGGTCTAACCCCTGTTGAGGTCACTCTTCCAGCCCTAGTCCCCAGATCACAGGCTTCTAGTGGCCATCACCCTGCATCTGCTGCTTCTTGCCTTGTGCTCCACCCTACATGCAAACTGGGTACCCTGGCAAGTCCTGCACCTTTGCTTAATGCCTAGTTTTCTTCATCAGTAATTTGGGGTAGTACGACCCTGACTCTGTGGTCTGTGCAGAGGTATTTTGCTGTCTCTGATGGGACCAGAGAAGTGGGCTGGAACAAACAACCCCCCCTTCCCCCCCCCACACAAAAACACAACTGAGGATGGACAGATCCCTGAGAATGTAGGGCGTAGCAGTGCTGGAATCTGGCGCTTCTTCCTCAGTACACAGGTACTGCTGCATGGGCCTTGTGCCACTGCTGTGCTCTGCCCTGGGCCCAGCCAAGTCCTTTGCAGTGGGTCATGGTTAGGATGGGAAGAGGCTGCACATCTCAGTGGAACTGGGCCCCGCAGTCCCTGATTCATGCACTTGCCTCTCTGTCCTGCAGGCTGGTCCTCCCCTACGTGCGACATCTGAAGGGTGAGGATGACAAGCCGCTGCCCCCCACCAAGCCCCGGAAGCAGTACAAGGTCTCCAGGGAGCCCCGTGGGGAGCAAGGCGAGGACACAGCTGAGAAAAGCAAGAGAGTCAAGAAAGAGAAAAGTGGAGACCAGGTGTGGGACTGCGCCCGGCCTCGACACCAGCCTCCAGAGCAGTGCTCCTGACAGCTCTTATGCTGCAAGGAGAGACACTGGAGTCACACTGTAGGGACTGGGCAGGGACAGGAGCTGCAATGGACTGTATGGCAGCAGGGCGGAGGTGGCTATGGCTAGAGGCCGAGGGAAGAGAACAAACAAGTGGGCAGACATGGGAGCTAAAGGGCTGCCCCCCATAGCTTTCTGGAGGGGACACCAACAGGTTGGTGGGTCTGGAACCCACCTCACTGTAGAATGGGGAGAGCTGATGACCCGGGCCAGGACCAGGCTGAGACTGCCCCTCTGCTTTTAGCAGATGGGTGGGGGCTGTGTCCCACGCCTTCCCTGACCCTAACTTGGCTCTGCTTTGCCAGTGCTCATGGTCTCATCCCTTGGCTTGCAGGTTTTGCCTGAGAAGGTGAAGCCAGATGCCTCTGTCACTCCCAAATGGAGTGTGGAGGATGTGACAGATGCACCCAAGCAGAATCAACTGGGAGACCGAGTGGAGCGGCTCCCCATTTCGAACACCAGGGACTTGGCCAAGAGTCCGCCATCCACGAGCTGTCACAGCAACTGCAGGGCCCATGGCTGTTCCGAGGCTTACAAACGGCTCTTCTCCAGCTTCTGCTTCAAAGGGAACCATGGCATCATGTCTCCCTTGGCCAAGAAGAAGCTGCTTGCTCAGGTGAGCAAGGCTGAATCGCTGCACTATCATGAAAGACACCTGAGCCACTGCCCAGAAGGGAAGAAATCGAGGTCTGCTGGACTCCCCTGCCCCAGCCCAGAGCTTGAGTCCAACAGGCCGTCAGTCATTCATCAGTGCAAGGAGGGAAGGAGCCCTGTGCCAGAGGGAGATGATCACAGTAACCCAGCCCAAGCATGTCATCTCCCTAACAGAGGGGAGGGCGTGCTGTGCCCAAAGGGATCTCGGAGCCCTAGAGGAAGCCAGATCTTTCCGAGGACAGACAGCAGGAGTTCAGGACGCCACCTCTTGCCTGCTCCTGCCATCTTCACTGGCCGCTTCCATGCGTACAGAAGTGAGGTTCTAAAACCTGTGAGCTGCCACCCTCTACGAGGCCCCATGGAGTATTTTCCAGGCTACCGTGACTTCCAAGAGACTCCCTCCGCCTGTCATCAGCCGGGCCAGGACACGCAGCCAGCCAACCCCCCTCGGAAGCGGCAGGAGGATACAGAGGGTTGTATGGATCAGCCAGAAGATTTGCGCAGCAAAGTGAGCCAGGCCCCACCATCCTTGAGTGGAGATAGCCCGCGACCCTCTGCCTTCTATAAAAGCAGTTCTGTGGGGAGTAGAGGCTCTCCCTTTGCCAGTGTGAAAGCCTGCTGGGTCCCTCCCCTGCCCAGCTTTACCAAGGCCAGTCCCCAGCTGCCCAAGAATAGTGGGCTCATCCAACCCGTCCCTCAGAGCCAGCTGAGCAGTCCTGCCTTGGGCCACGGGCTGAGGAGCAAGCGCAGTCTGGAGGAGGAGGGCTTTGTGCATGGGAAGAAGCTAAAAGCCGTTTCGCCTCTTGTCAAGGGAGTGGAGCCAAAGGACAAGTGCGGCGAGTCACCCAGCCTCCAGCAGGGCCTGGCCAAGCCCCGGGCCGTGGTGCCAAACCCCAGCTTTCCTGCACCACTCGCCTCTACTGCAGGGCAGGACAGTTACAAAGGGACAATGCTGAGGTTCCCAGTGAACTTTGGCACCTCCACGGACCATTTAAAGGGACAGTCTTCTCCACTGATCCCTTCACTCTCTGTCAGCCCATTCATCATTCCTGCATTTCCAAGCCACTTATTAGCTGCCTCCACTCAACCTTCAGACCTCTGCCGGCCGCTGGCTACCAGCCTAGTGCACTACCCCACGTCTTACGACAGCTCGCTGCGGCATAGGCTATACCCTGTTTCCACATGGCACAATCAGCCAACATATACCCCCCACCACGTGAACACCTTCCACCGGAACACCAAGCTGTAGTCACTGGCATAGAGACTGTTACTTGTGGAGAGAGGTTATCTACTGATGGTAGGGGGTCTTGGCCAGCCATGGTGCTGAGTAGGACACAGTAACAGTGGAGTTGCAGCTGTGCTGCATCAGCCTTGGTGCTGCCCCAGTCCTGAGGCCTTGTCTTGCAATGTGGAAGGAGAAGATACGGACAGACTGGACCGTGTCATTTTTACTCTTGCTCTTCAAGCGTTATTTGTAATTGACACCATACACTGGGGGCTCTCGCACACATGTGGAGTTTAAAAAAGGGAGCAAAATAAGTTCTGGAGAGTCCTCTTAATATCAGAGGTGACCCCATCTATCATGCAGCTGCTTGGACAAGTAGGTTCCAAAGAGCAGCATGGACCTGGATGTTGTCCATCCATGTTCCTTACTAGCAAGACTGAAAAGAGGAGTGTTAAGACAGAGAGAGGAAAAACTCAAATTAATTACTACTGTTTCGAGGGTGTCCCAATATGCCAGTGGAGCTCTGGGAGTGCTCTGTGACCTGTGTTCTGGTCTAAAACAGTATTTCAGGTGAATCACCTTGGGGATGGGAATCAGGTTTAAATTTCCCAGATTGGGGACAGGGCATTAACTCCCCCCCTCCCCCATTGGTTTCACAGAGCCCGGAAATCATCTGAGATATTCCCAAGCTACTCCTGTCCCCATGTGATGCTGTCTGTGGAGGCCTCTGTGGATCTCTCCAAAGGCTGCATTGCTCTGGTTGGAAGCATCCAGGTGTCTGCAATAAAACTGCCCAAGATGGTGCAAATGGGGAGTGTGTTTGGGGTCTCTGTGATCTGTGGCGGGCACAGAACGAGGCCCATCAGCAGTGCCCAGTACTAAGCAAATAGTGTGTGCTTTGTGTATATTTTGTGGTAATTGCATTGTCAGTTCACGACAATGCAATGTGATCGGTACCTGCTGGCAGATGGGGACTAGCTCTCTTGGGAGCAAGCTGTCATTATCTAACAAGGTGGTTGGAGGAGCAGCAGCAAACAGCACTTCCTGTCCTGACATAGCATGGCTCCACAGTGCGGCTCCACTGACCTCAGTGGGGTTATCACGCCGGTGGGGGTGGGGGTGGGAGGAGAGGTGAGTCCTGGCCCTGTGCATTTCAGTGCCAGCCTTGTCTGCTGCCTTCAGTGAGAGCACGTCCAAGCCCTTGAGAAGGTAAAAGATACGAAATCTTAACGCTGGCAGGAGAACTCCTCCTTTTTGCCACCTCAGCTGTGGGATCTTGGGAGTTGCTCCGCTTCGGCAAGTGGTGCCACTTTCAAAACTGCTGCTATGACTGAAATGCCTCCTGCCTCTGAGAAATGGGAATCCAGGTCTGCCCCTCTGGCCACCCTTCCCCTGGGCAGAGCTGCTGAAGAGCGTGTCTGGACTTTCCTTTTAACCCTTGGCGCATAGCTTTTGCAAACCAACTCTCTAATTCAGTGAGGCCCCCAGAACTCTGTGCTGCCTGACGCCTGCCTTTGGGGGCTGTGCAGGCCCACAGAGCTCTCGGGTGCAGGGTCACCTTCAGAGGTGAGAGCAACCATGTCCGATGCCTTCAGTTCTCTGTGTGTGATGCACCTGCTCCTGCTCTGTCAGCCGCTTCCCAACATGCAACTCACCTCATGCAGCTTATCTGCCTCTGCCTCCACTAGGCTTCAGCTAGACCAGAGTATGAAGGTACCTGCTGGTATGTCACCTCTTCTGGAGCTGCCTCGTCTAACCAGCTCCTTTGAAAGTCTAATCTAAACAAGGCCAGTTGCACCATCACGTGATCTAGGTCTCGGTTTCCCTCTAGCTAACAGCGCCCCTTCAAATCCTAGGCCTAGTCACTGGTGTAAGAGGAGGGTCAGGCTCATCTTCACTCAACTGCAGCCGTTGCTTTTTGAGTGTTTTGGTGTCTCCTTTTTTAATCTGAATTCAGGCCTGGTTTTCCCCCCAGCTGGAGGGGCAGAGCTCAGGCTTATATGCTGCTTCTCTTATGCTGATCATCCCAGCTCTTCACTGCAGGGGTCTCAGAGCAGGCAGGCCGAGGAGGCAGGGAAAGGGGCTGGCAATTTTGGTGATGATTTTAGCAGCAGAATCGGATCTGAGCCTTCCAAGTGGGAATGGAAATGCTGCTGTAGGTAAGGGATGCAGGAGCTGTCTAGATGGACAGGAGGCGTAGCCACGCATTTCTTGTGTCTCTTGTTTGGCCTTGTAGCCAGCCTTCCCAGGCTCATGATTCTGCAGGGTTGGGTTACCAGCAGGCTGGCCTAAACCCCTAAAGATGAAAGGCCTTCTCTCTCCTGGCTGGCCCTCGGGTGTCTCCTGCAGCGGGAATGCTGCCCACATTGTTCCCTCCTTTATTTCTGTGCAAGTACCATGCTGCCTAAGGCACTGACCAATATTTCTAGTGTTGCATGCACTCATGGTTTGTGTGAACTAGATATGGCCCTGAATGCTTCTTGGCCCTCAGGGAAGCTGGGTCTCACGTCATAAGGGGACATGAGTGTTTTATACCATGCAGTGCTATATGCTCATCCCACTGAGCAGCAGCCTTCCCCACAGCTGTGAGTAGGCTGGGATGAGAACCACGCATCCCACTGTGTGCAAGGAGCCCTTGTGTCTGGTGTTCTGCACCAGGAGGTCCTGTGGAGCCCCACATGCTTCAGAGAAAGCTGCTCCACTCTCGTGTGCTTTCTGCCCTTTGACCTAGCTCCTTCTCTGTGGGGCTGACATGCCTCTTCTGGAGCAGAGAAGAATACAAGTTGGACAATAGCATTTCAAGCCAGTCCACAACTTCCTAGGGCCGGTGCTGCATGGTCTGGCTTAAAAGGAGTTGGCCAACTGTTGTGTGCCAGCACACCTGCTGCTGAAGCATAGCTACACTGAAGTAGCCCGATACTTTCCTTGAGAGGGCACTGTAGACAGACTTCCATATAGATATCCTCTTACAGCACTACGAGTTCTATAATTCCCCGGGCAGCCCCGGGGCACTGTGAAAACAAACCAGAGAGCTTTCTTGCAGCAGGGCAGGTGGAATTTGAAAGCTCCAGCACTGGATCTATTTATGATCACTCTATAATTAGATCTAGGTCAGAGAATACAGCGGTTCCTGGTCAGCATCCTGGGCAGGCTTCCCGTAGTCCTGTGGCCAGTGTTGTTGCTTGTGCAAGTGCTCTGCCAATGGGAGTTTTTGGCACAGATGTGAGAGTTGTCTTGTGATTTCACTCTATGTTGGGCTATTCTGACTGGAGGGCTTTGGACTTGGGTTTTAGGCTGTTTCTTGGAAATGTCTGTTTCCAGTCCCCCAGTGCAGTATTTAAGGTTCCTTGTCAAACTTATATTGAATGAATGTGTTTAGCTGCCGTTCAGGGTTAGATTTCCAATGGCCCTGCAGCTGGACAACGTGCAGCCAGTTGGTCAGGCATGAAGGGATTCTCACTGGTTTTCCTACCGCAAATGCTAGTGTATTAGGCCAGTGTACTGCTCCGGCCACTGGCCCTGCATGTGCATGTCTTGGCTAGAGTTCAGAGCAGCCACAAGTCCGCTGTAGGTTAGAGGTGGTGGATGCTGTCATCCAACATGGGCTTTGTTTGGCAGTTTCCACACACTCCCCTAGCTTGAGGAGCGTTGTGGTAATGGGGCCTCTCTGGCAAAGTCCGGAGAGTACGGGGTTAAAAAGAAGCCTTCTGCAAGGATGTTCTGATGTTTGTTTGAAGGGCTGGTACAAGGGGGCCCAGATGATGCCACGCAAACGTGGGATGAAAATCCCTTCCCACTTGTTCTGAAACATGCTGGTGCTCAGCGCCCCCGTGTGGCTCATCAGCAGGACCAGCTCTTTGTGCTGACGCTTACTGCTGAGTTAGGTTACTGCTGCTTCCTAGTAATCCAAGGACACAAGGATCACTTTCCCAGCCATTGCCATTCCTTGGTTTCCAGCAACCAGTCCTGCTCTTGGTGGATCTTCTGGCCTTCAGAGGAAAGCAAACATTGCATTCTAATCTCTGCTTTCGGCCTTGCAGCCCTCTTTCAATTACATTACACTTATTGCACGGAAAGAGGCTTCAGGCAGAGTGCTATTGACTGAGGGAGTTATGGCATTTCATACTTTCTTTGCCTGTAGTGCCAACCCAATGTCTCCTTTAAGTTTGAATTGCCTCATTCGCTGGAAGATATTTACAGGAGTCAGTCTGTCTGTCTGTCTGGAAGATTGAAGTGTCCTTAGGAGTCTCTGATGATCTATGTCGTTGAACTTTCTCATTGCAGTCTGAGGCTGGACACCCTTTTCTCCCTGGTTTGCTGAACATGTGCTCTAGGTCAGACCCAGCTTGTTCTCTGGTTCCTAGGATGAAGTGTGTTAATGTTGCCATTTACAGCTCTGGCTTTGCTGTGTAGCCTTTCAGCCCTTTACTCTGGTACCCAAATGGCGCCAGTCGTCATCTCTGCTGCTGTGGTGGGGCGAGGAGTGTTTCTTCACTCCTAACCTTGTCTGACCTTCCCCCTTTTTAACTTTGCTGGCCTCTGTTGGCACTTGCCCCTTGTTCTGGCAAACCTATTGCATCAAGAGCTGCTGGCTCCTGTTGGAGATGTTGGGGTTGTTTGTTCAGTGAGGTGGAGACCAACCTCCCCCATCAGTGTCCAGTAGAGAAACTGGTAAAATCTAGCTGCTTTATGAGCCTGGCATTAGTGAATAAACAGCCCCTAGAAATCTTAGCCTCTTTGGTGGTAGGCTCTTACAGTCTGGGTATGCAAACCTTCAACTGCTGCGAGCCCACCAGGGCAGGAGCATGATGTGATGAAATGGCCCTTCGTGCTCTATACATTGAAAGGCTGAGATCACATGGAAATAAAAATATGAACCTGGGGACACTTCATGTTTTCTTCCTATGTATTTGTCTAGCGTATTTCCTATTCCGCTGGACTAGATTTTTTTTCTGGCCTTAGAAAGTAGCTATCAAATACGATCTCTGGCTAAATGGGCAAACACATTGGCTCCTTTAGGGTCTTATTTAGGGAACAATAAGAGATGTGATGAGGCGTCAATTGTGTTACTGAAGGCTTCATGGCAACAGGGCAGCGCATGAATGTGAATGAATATAATGCAATGGACGCAATGAAGTTTTATTGCAATTGTGAAATATGGTCTATAATAATTAACATTCTTACCAAGGCTCTTTGCAAACTGCTGTGTACAGTAATCACTTCATGCATCACTGAACTGCAGGAGACGTGTAATCCTTCGCACAGTGTTTGGAATAGGAACTAAGAGCACTCTTCAGCTGGGATGACATGTAAATTCAAGGTATGCTTACTCCTGTTGGAATTTGGAATGGGAGAGTTGTTCTGTTCTTCTGAAGCATGCCAGGGAATGAGCCTGATACTCTTTTGCCACGTCCCAAGTGCAGAGTGGATGTAAAATGGTACCAAAGCTGGGTCATAGATTTTTCCACAGATGGTAATGACAGCATAAGGGGTCAATTCCTCAGCTGCTGTACCTGGCCATAGTTTTGGCTGAAGTTTACTGATTTCCACTAGCTGTAAATCTGACCTGATGTTTCTGATGCAGTTGGAGGCCAGTCACTCGGGCAATGCGGTAGCCACTGCTCTTGGTGGAAACAGGAGAACAAAAAAGGGATAGAGAATAAGACTGAGAATATCTTATTGCCTCTATATAAAACCATGGGACACCCACATCTTGAATACTGCATATAGATGTGGTTGCCTCATCTCAAAAAAGATATATTGGCATTGGAAGAGGGTCAGAAAAGGGCAACAAAAATGATGAGGGGTTTGA